GTGAGTTTTGAGAGATATTCAAAGTGAAACTTGCAATGACTTTTGCGCCAAACTTTGCCCGCCGTTATTTAAAAACTTTTGGCGTCGAAACCAGTTGTTATAAAAAGACGTTTTTTATGCTCATAAGTAGAGAAAGCTTCACTTTATAACTCTTTAAAACTTGGTTTTATACGAGTGGTGCGCTGATTTTTCACAATTCAGCAAAGTGAGACTTGCAATGCGCTTGCGGCTAAATTTATCCCCGTGTTTCAAAAATTTGTTCCATCGAAACGAGTTGATATAAAAAGGCGGTTTTTTCAGGCAAAAATAGAGCAAACTTCACTTTATGTTCCCTCAAAAGTTGGTTCCATTCGAGTTTGACGTTGATCTTTGAAAATTATTCAAACTGAGACTTTTGCGACCAAAATTACCCTCGATTCATCAAAACTTTATTACATCGAAACTACTTGATGTGGAAAAGCGGTTTTTACGGTCGTAAACAGAGCGAACTTCGCTGCATCTTCTTGTAAGGTTTAGCTTCATATGAGTGTTGCGCTCATTTTCGCGAATTATGCAAGCAATGACTTTTACGGCTCAATTTGCCCGTCGGCATTCAAAAATTTATTACGGCGAAACGCTTTGATATGGAATGGAGTTTTTCCCGAGGGAACATAGAGGAAACTTTACTTGATGTTTTCTCTAAATCCTGGTTTATTCGGGTTTTGTGCTGGTTTTTGAGAATGGTTCACAGTAAGCAGTAACTTTTGCGTCGCAATTTCCCGACGCTATTCAAAAATGTATAACGTCGAAACCAGATGATATGGAAAAACGGTTTTTCTAGCCCAAAATAGTGCAAACTTCACTTTATGTGCTCGTTAAGTTGGTTTCCATTCGAGTTTTATGCAAATTTTTGACAAATATTCAAAACAAAACCAGAAAAAATTAAATTAACTGTTGCTACTTACCACACGAGAAGAAGTCAATATCAGCAAACACCGCATGGATTAAGGTGCTTACCGCAAACGCCAGCCAAAATATATCCTTCACAATCATATTGAAAATAATAATACTGAAGAAATTTGAAAAATCAGCCTATTTATCCAGTTATCTTTACTTAACCATAAGTAATCTGAGCAGTGATTTTGTTGAGTGATTGGCAGTCTGGAGAGTCTATTCGTAATAGGAATTGCATTGACGCAAATCACACACAAATGCGATGTAATTTAATATTCAACAATTATTTCGTATTTTTATTTTTCCTTCTTCTTTTACCCACTTTAATCGGCAAGCGTTAAAACCATGGTTCTTCAAGTTTACTTGTATTCGGAAAGCCAAATGTACATTTTAGGAGTCAAAATAGTGCAAACTGTTCCTGACTGGCGAATGCTGATTACATACAAACAAATGTTGCAATATTCTGCGTATTATATAAATATGAATGATGTAAAGGTCCACAAAACGTCGAAGAATTCAAAATATTTGAAGTGCCAAGATTTGAGATTTGCGATTAAACCAGTTTGATGTTTGCCTTTGCCTTGATAAAGCCGCCTTGCATGTTGCCGGAACAATATTCTGCGTTGGCCAAAAACAAAATGCCAAAAATCATTACATAATACTAAACAACTTTATAAAATTCTTAAACTTTTGATACTTAATAAGCATTTTTCACTAATCGCGTTTGTGCTAAAATTTCGCATTTTCTGCGGTCATTTGTTATGTTTTTGCAGCTGATGAAATGAAAATGACAAAACTTTATCTACGTGCACTTTGCAGTTCACATAAGGGTCCTATTTTTAGAATTTGCCCCATCATGCACAGGAAAATAATAAAACACTTAGACGCATTAAAATAGATCAGCGGTAAAAAACACGCAACCGATATGGGAAAATGTGTTAATTATGTTATATAAAAGGTTCAGCCATTTGGAGCTTGGAGTTTCGAACTTTGAAGGCATTTTTGATTATAAAAGTTTTGTGTTTTAATTGGGAAAATGTCGTTTTATTTAGGGGAATTTCCAAGAAATGCTGTTATTACCTCTAAGACTTTTCCAATGTGTTTGTGAACGAAATTATTTGGTGGTTTTTGCAACTGAATTTGTCTTTTTGATTCAGAAGCTTAATAAGTGTGCTTCTGACTCTCTCTTTTGAACTATTCCTCAGAGGTTCGGGTAAAAAATGTGCCCAGAAAACCGGAAAATCTCCTTAGGGGAGTCTCCATCACATTGAGAAACAGTTAATGAGTTCAGGATTTATAAACTAAATTTTGTTGCCAATCAAAAATTGGATCATTTGATGGAAGGTCGGAAACGATACCAAGTAATAAAAAACATCGTCTATATTAAAGGCTCCATAAGTTAACAACATCCGAACACTAGACAAACACAAACAAAGATTCATATATAAATATTAGGTGTGATTGACGTGTTTTATTCAACATCACAAACGAAGTATAACTTCACATAGTTAGATCGGATTGATCAGTTGGTGATGGTGGTGTCCATTTCGATGCAGAATCCCACGCTGGAGGTTCCGCCATTCAAGTAGCTGGACTCGATTCGCATTATTGAGGGAAGCTGAAAGCACCGGAAACATTACGGACGAATAAACGGAAAATTATGGACACAATCTTACCTGAACCAACCTGGAGGAGACGTTAAAATGCAGATCGAACTCTGGATACTCCAGTCTGGTTGTGATCGGGCAACCGAAAACGCATGGATTGTTCACAGTCACATTTTGCTCAAAGTAGGCCCCATATTGAAGAATGCCCAGAGAAATTGGGGCGTTATCAACTTCCGGGTCTGGAAACAAAAATTACTCCTAGAGCAAACAGGGTTTAACGTAGATATATACTAACTACTCCAGATAATGAGAGTGGCAATGTTTAAAAATAAAGATCACGCAAAAAATACATGTTTTAAATGTAATGTTAATCAGCGAGATTAACCACCTTATTATGGTACCGGCGAACAGCATAACGAGTTTAAACCAGTCAAATTAGGTCGATTATTAATTGAAGATTAAGCCAGCTTCAACATCAACCAACTTTTATGATTATTTTCTTCGTCGTTTTCATTTGGCTGCAAATCTATCGGGATTGTGATTGATTGCAATCTGGGAGTCAATAAACCCGAATAAAATACAAACTAAGGCAAAGAGTAACATAGTAAGCACGTGACGCTCTCAAGTACATCTTCAAGTTGTACTATTAGGAGATAACGTATCGAATCATGGTATCTAAGTGTGCATCTTTCTGTTACCGATAAAGACACAGTGGATTTAGGTGGTAAAATGCCATCTTTTCCATCCCCATTTCTCATGGTTTTTTGAATCATTTGCGCCCTGTTCCTGCTCTAGATAAGTTAGAAAGTCGCCAAACTGGCCCTGAATTGAATGGAAACTGTTGCTGTTGTTCATTGTTAGCTGGAAATGTGGGCGATTAAAGTACTTTAGTGCAATTTTCAGGGTTATTCGAATGAAATAGTCTGCGTATGGTGTAGAAAGTGCAACTTCCTAGCTCGGATAGCTTAAAAGATATAAATTCTAGAAAATAACGTGCAATTTTATGGAAATTATCACTTGTACATTCATGTAATGCAAGCCGTAGAAAATCAGGGCAAAGTCTGATTTTTGCCAAGTTTTAACAGTTTCCAAGACTAAGTTTCTTCTCTGCACTCTAAAAATTTCACGCTTATAACTGGGTAGGTTCAGAAAGTACGAATTTTTTAAAGCCGGGCTGCGGTTTTAAGGAAAATTCACTTCTACCTTCCTTACAAGCGGGAAAATATGGAAAAGGAACGATTTTAATGACATTTTTCAACTTAATAGATTTAAATGGGCTCCGCTGGTGCTAAATATCCAGATTTGCAGCTTTTTTAGGGCAAAAGATGCAATTTTTTTTAATTTAAACTGCAATTTTATATAAATGATCACCTGTACATCCCTGTATAGCAAGCCCTAGAAAATCAGGGCAAAGTCTGATTTTTGCCAAGTTTTAACAGTTTCTAAGACTAAGTTTCTTCTCTACACTTCAAAAATTTCACACTTATAACTGGGTCGGTTTAGAAAGTACGAATTTTTGAAAGCCGGGCTGCGGTTGTAAGGAAAATTCACTTCTGCCTTCCTCACAAGCGGGAAAATTTGGAAAAGGAACGATTTTAATGACATTTGCCGACTTAATAGATTTAAATGGGCTCCGCTGGTGCTAAATATCCAGATTTTTAGCTTTTTTAAGACAAAAGATGCAATTTTTTTGAATTTAAACTGTAATTTTATATAAATGATCACTTGTACATCGCTGTATAGCAAAGTCCTAGAAAATCAGGGCAAAGTCTGATTTTTGCCAAGTTTTAACAGTTTCTAAGACTAAGTTTCTTCTCTACACTCTAAAAATTTCACGCTTATAACTGGGTAGGTTTAGAAAGTACGAATTTTTTAAAACCGGGCTGCGGTTTTAAGGAAAATTCACTTCTATCTTCCTCACAAGCGGGAAAATTTGGAAAAGGAACGATTTTAATGACTTTTCCGACTTAATAGATTTAAATGGGCCCCGCTGGTGCTAAATATCCAGATTTGTAGCTTTTTTAGCGCAAAAGATGCATTTTTTTTTAATTTAAACTGCAATTTTATATAAATGATCACTTGTACATCGCTGTATAGCAAGCCCTAGAAAATCAGGGCAATGTCTGATTTTTGCCAAGTTTTA